CCTGCCGCCGCTGCCGCGCCTGCCGCCGCGCCGCCGCCGCCACCGCCGCCGCGCCCCCTGCTGCCAAACCGCCGCCGCAGCCGCAGCCTCTGCCGCCACCGCCGCCGCCGCCGCCGCCGCCGCCGGCCCGCCGCCGCCGCCGCCGCCGCCGCCGCCGCCGCCGCCGCAGCCGCCGCAGCCGCCGCAGCCGCCGCCGCCGCCAAGTGTACTCTGTATCGTTCTTTGACAGGGATGGTGGGGGGGGGCCGCATCGGGTTGGCTGCGCATGTTCCGAATTTGGAGGCAGAGTGTGTTTTGTATGGTTTTTTTTACAAAGGGATGGTGGGGGGGTGTCGGCATGGACTCGGGTTGGCCCCCAGTCGCCTGGGGAAGGGGGTGTTCACTAATAGGGAACAGTGATCAAGCTAGCCACCCGCCCGCGAGACGTCTAGCTCACTCCCACCCGCCCTCCCAAGACAGAAGTAACACCCGAGCCTGACCATGTTCAGCGGTCGTCTTTGGATGGGCAGCTACTGGGAACCAACGCCGACCCAAGGTGCGCGACGCTTGGGCGATGTGCGCCACGCGTGCCAGGGGCGCCCCGCGCGCCAGGCACCCCTGGGGCCCGAGCGTGCCAGGCACGCCTGGTGCGCCAGAGGCGCCACGTGCTCCGAGTGCGCCAGGTGTGCCGCGTGCTCGAGTCGCGCCAGGTGCGTCACGTTCGGGGCACGCGCAGAGTGTGTCAGGTGCGCCTGCGCACGTGACAGCACACATCGGGAACCATGTCGGCCCCCGCCATCCTTGTCGAAAAACACTGCCCATCATTATCATTGTGTCGGGTGGGCCTGCGCAGGCCACGCGCCACCACCCCCGCCGTCCTTGTCAAAAACCATTTGACAGTGATCGCGGGGTGGCCGCGCATGATCAAGATTTTAGCCGCGAGGTGCATTTTTGTTTGGGCTGGTAGCCTTGCGCGCAGCAGGCAGTATGCTGGCACCCCCGCCGTCCTTGTCAAACACAATACAACGTGCTCGCGGGCCTCACGAACATGACTCACGACTTTGCCCCAACGTGCACTTTGTATGGTTTTTGATGGGGATAGTGGGGTGAGGGCCGCATCGGGTTGGCCGCGCATGCTGCAAATGTGGAGGCAGGGTGCGTTTTGTATTATTTTTGGTAGGGATGGTAGGGGGGGCCCTCATGGTTCCTGGTAAACCGCCGGTCGCTTGTGGGGGGGTATATTAATAGGGAACAGTGATAAACCCTTCCCCGAAGAGAAAGAAGGGGGTTGGAAGAGGAGCCTCCCTAGCCACCTACGCCCAGAGGGCTGCTGGGATTCTCCAATCTAGGGGGGCAGAACGGCTCTGATAGCGGGGGGACCGCAAAGGCGCGTCTGTCCCATCCTCCTCCTCCTCCTCGTCTTCTCCTTTCCGCTCTCCGCAGCCAAGTCGTTTTGGCTCGCGTTCGTTGTGTGCGGCCGAAGGTGGAACTTCGCCTCAGGCGCTGCAGGTTTTCGCGTTGACATTCCCAGGCGCCGGACGCATGATGCAGATCGCAGACGCGTCCTCCGCGCTCGTAGTTCCCTTGGTATTTGGACCAGTGTATGGGATTGCCTACAGCATGCTCTTCGCCTGGAAGGTGGGGAGCGATTCGAGCGCGGCGCTGCAGAGGTTTGGATGGATTTGCATGTTTGTATCGAAGGTCCTGTTCACCAAGTTGATCCCCGAAAGCTACGCTATAGCAGAGCTCTGCGGGCTCAATCCGTCGACTTCTGGGCTCCTCGTCAGCGTCTACGCTGGGGCGCATATGATTGGCTACGGGATATTGTGGGGCATGTTCAGGTCAAGTACCCAGAAATTGAGCAGCGCCGAGTTGTTCTCAGCCTATGCCATGGCCGCCATCTGCCTCACCGTCGGCACCGTGGGTTTTGCCGCAGTCACGCCGCACGTGGAGTACTTCCCACACGTTTGGCTCCGAGGTGGAGCATTGCTTCTTTGCCGCGCCATTGCCGGCGTTGGCGGGGGCATGATGGTCTACGCAGCTTTGAACGTCGCGTCAAGCAACGGCACGCCGGAGCAGAAGAGGGAAAACACGGCATGGCTCACGGTCGCAAGCGCCGTGGGGGCTGGCTGCGGGCCAATCCTCGCTTCTGCGTCTCAGAGCATTCGCCAACTCATGTCCGTGGATGGATTCCAGTTTTACGACGATGTCTTGCTGTGCTTCGCCGTGTGCATGGGCGTCAGCAGGCTTCGAGGCCTGAGCAGAGACACTGCCGAGCACGCGGCGTTCCAGAAAGTCCAACAACCGCCTGAAGCGCCCCTTCAGCTTCGCCACGCGTCGAAGCGCGCGTTGCTGTGGTGCGCAAGCCTCTGCTGCATCAGGACGTTCGTGATGAGCGGGGCAGAGGTGGCTACGGCTCTCATTCTCGAGGAGAGCGCGAGCTGGTCGAGGGTGAGCATCGGGCTTGCGATCGGGGTCGCGTTCCTCCTGAGTTGGCCAGTCAAGGCGATTCTCGGCCGCACGCAGTTCGGCATCACGGCGGCGTCCACGCAGATCTTGCTCGTGGGCGCTCTGCTGGCCACCTTGATGATGTCCCGCTCCATGGCGATACCGCCGGGCTCGTTCTGGTCGTTGCTGGCAGCAGACACCATCCTACTGCCGCAATTGATCGTGGCTGGAGGGTACCTTGATGGCATCATGCTCTCGCTCCCCAGCCTCGCTCCTGGGCCGGGCATGCCGTCGCAGCACGACGTGCAGCTCCTGCGCGGCTTTTGCACGGACGGACTAGGACGTTTCATGGGTCCTCCGATTGCACGATGGATCGCGACATCCTCTGGGTTCTGCGACGGGCAGGACCTGTACAGTATTGTGCAATTCTGCGGGATTGCTGTCATGATCGTCGTATTCAAGATGTTCGTGCTTCCAGCCTACGACGAGGCAAGGGGCTGGACGCAGCGAGGGGGGCGGGGCGAGTGCGCTGCATCGGACGCGCCGTTGCTCGGTGACCCCTCGCGCGAGGCCGGCGATCTCCAGCCCAGCACGAGGGCGGACATGTACGGTGAGTATTGGGTCTCGCTGCCAGCCCGCCTTGCGCATGACAAGCTCACAGAAGGTCGACCAACAAGTGAGCTGTTTTTCCCTCCCCAGCGTAACTCTCGTTTCCGAGGCCCCCCCCAGGGTAACGCTAACGATCGTACTGGGCGGAGCGGCCTGGACCCCCCCCCCACATGCTTGGGGGCGGACCCTCCGCAGGTGTGGCGCTGTGCTCACTGGCATGGCGTGGTGCTAAAAGGCATGTTTTGGTGCCCACAAGCGTGTTGTGGCGCTCTCAGGCTCTCCACCTGTTGCGGCGCCGAGCTCACAGGCATGGCGTGGTGCTGAAAGGCATGTTTTGGTGTGGCGTTTGCAGACTATGGCAGTGCGCATAGGTCAGGTGGGCTCACTGCCGAGGTGCCCAACTTGGAGGGTGGAGGATCGGGGGGCCGATGTCTAGCGGTTTTTGGCTGAGCGGGCGTTCGAGGTTGAACGCGACGCAGGGGCCCGTTTCGGGTCCCAGGACCCGCAGAAACGAGCCGCCCACGGCGCGAAATCGATGCCGAAAATGGGGTCGAGGGCCTCCAGGGTCCTCCGGGAGCGGATATCGTTCAAGATTGATCGATCCATGCGGTATCAGAAACCAACGCCGATGGCGCTGGAGTTTTCGACCCCGTCGTGAGGCTCCTGCTGCTCCTTCTATTGCTGCTCCTCTTGCTCCACCTGCTGCTCCCCCTCCCGCTCCGTATTCCCCCCCTCAACGAAGGCCGCCAGGACCGTTGACAGACTAGAGGAAGAAGAGATGGGGGAGGAGGCGCAGGAGGAGGAGGAGGAGGAGGAGGAGGAGGAGGAGGAGGAGGAGGTGAAAGAGGAGCAGGAGGAGGAGGAGGAGGTGAATGACGAGTCCTGAGGACCTCCCTGATCTGTGGCCAGCCCCGCAAGGAGCCTCGCAAACTACTAATGGGCTCGCTGGCACGTTTGGCGTTGTGGTGTGCCAAGGCTCTGTTGTGCACGGGGGCATTGTGGCGTGCACAGTCGTTGTGGTGCACATGGTTGCTGTGGTGTACACAGGCGCTGTGGTGTAACAAGCGCTCTGATGCACGCAGGCAATGTGGTGTATGCATGCCTTGTTGCGCACAAGGCCATTGCAGTTTACACAGGCACTGCTGTGTACATAGGCGACGTGGTGCTCCAGTGCACGCGGCTGGTTTGGTGTAAAGGGGCATTGTGGTGTACACAGGCGGCGCTATGTTTCACGCAGGCATTGGGTCTTGTCGTGTGCACAAGCACTGTGGCGCACACAGGCGATTGATGCGCCGGTGGCGCGGACGCACCCTGGCGGGTGCACGCCGCGGCCGCCGTTACCGTTACCCTCCCGCCCGGACACCCCCCCTGGGTTAACGACCGCTATCCGGGAAGGGGGGAAAACAACTCACCAAGCAGACGACACCACCCCACCCAAGGCCCTCCATGTTGCGCTACGGCCGGTCCGTCGGGTGCCGTAACGTATACCACGCAAGAATCCACTCCAGAGTTCTCGGTGTACGCTAAGCCCCGTGGGGCCGTAGGTGGGGTGGTGTCGTTGGTTTTCTGGTCCAGAAGGCCCGTTCAGCCTGGACAGCCACCCGTGCGCGGGGAAGCGCCTGGCCCTGATCATCCGTGGCGAGTCCTTCCGCGAGGGGCGGCAGCATTCTCGTTCAGTTGGGTCGGAGGCTTCGATCACCGAGCAGATGCTCGCGTCAGCATCACACATGAGTCTCATCTCGGCTGCGAGCAAGGGGGCGGAATGAGAAGGAGAAGGCCTTCTCAGAAGGCGGTGTGGCTTCTCTGCAGCCCTCCGGCCTTCTGAAGAGTTTTCTGTGTCTTCGGGGAGAGCTAAGAAAACTTTCAGAAGGCCCAGGGACTTCGGAGCCTTCTTACAAGACCTCCTTCTCATTTCCCCCCCCTTGCTCGCTGCCGACTCATCGTGGAACCTTTCCGCCAAGCAGGCTACGAGGTCGAGGTCTTTCTTCAGACCAGACACATCAGCGATGATCTCACGGAGAAGCTGCACAGCTGGTACGGAGACACTCTGACGAGGACCGAGTTCTCTGACAACACCAAGAGCGCCTACAAGCCTCGCAAGTACAATCAAACGACAGGCAAGTTCGAGACTGGCCCTGATTACACGCCGCAAGTGGCAGGCAGCGGCTTGGTTGCGTCGTGGGAGCTGTGTATGATGAACCTGGCGCGGTCCCTTCGCGAGCAGAAGCGAGATTTCAGCCACGTCCTCGTGATCCGAGCGGACCAGATCTTCAAAGTGAACGTTGGGCAGATCCTCCTCAACCTGGATGCCGAGGACCGCGAGAAGATCCTCTACGCGAACAAGCACGTCGTGCACGGCCCTGACGGGCAGCCCATAGAAGAGGGCCAGTGTCCCTCAGGCAGGCGCTTCTTCGGCGACAGGTGGGACAGCGCTGACGGTACCCCGAGCGTCAGCGATCAGTTCCATTGGTTCCCTTTCGGACTTGCAAACGTCATGATGAAGTGTGGCTTTCCTGGCCACCAGGCGTGGGACAAGCACCAGGCGTGGGTCGGCGAGGCACGCTTGGGCTTCCTGACCCCGGGGCCCTTCGAGTCAGACCCGTCCAAGGGGTGGAACCCGCTCTTCCGGCTGGCGGGCCGCGCCGAGCGAGAGCCCACAGAGGCAGAGCTCAGCAGGGTTCCTCGCGAATGGCCCATTCGCTGAGCGCTGTGAGCGGCCGTGAGATCGCGAAGGGCGACGCAGTTACCACGTAGCTACCCAGATTCGGCGCTCATCTGGCCTTCTTTCCGGATCAATCTCGTTGAATTTTCTTCCTTACCCCGGCAGGCCGGCAGGCTCAGCGCAGGCTGGTATTACGGGCTGGCCCATTCAATTCCACGTCTTCCCGAGCCGCCCTGTAATTCGCAGAAGGAGCGCTCCCGCGTTGGTAGGGGTCTTAGGAGCCTTCGTTCAGCTTGTACAAGGGCATTGCCGGTTTCGTAGGGAGGCTCTTTCCATGGCCAAATTCCTCGATCCGCATGAATGTAGTGAAGTTCAAGGCAAATGGGCCGTGCTGTGTATACATATGTACACACAGTCTCTCTCGCTCATATATATATATATACACACACATAGATATCCCCGTGCACGAGGCCCGGGCGCCCAGGGCCCGGGGTTCGGAGGGTCATGGGAGGATTGGGGTTTCCCAGACCGCTCCCAGCGCACCCCGATGGGGCCGTGGAGCCCCCAGACTGCCCCAGAGAGCTCCAAGACGCTCCCAGAAGTCCCCGGGGGACTTCGACAAGCCCCTCCAAGACAGCCCAGATAGCCCCAACGTGGCCCCAGATGGGTTCCAGACCAGAAATGCACAGCCCAAGAGGCCTCCGAGAGGCCTCAAGAGACCTCCGAGAGGCGTCCCGAGAGAGCCCGAAGAGGCCCAAATCCTTGATTGTCATTGGTCTTTTGTATGTTTTTCGGTGTCTCGCGTTTTCGACCTCCCGACGCTCCACGACAGCGGACGTTGCCCCCACCCCAAGACTGCCGAAAAGGCCCCCAATAGAGCCCCAAGACTGCCCCAGGGAGCCTGAAAATTGCCCGGGACGAGCCTCGGACGGCCCAAGAGAGCCCCAGGACAGGCCCAAGCTGGGCCCCAGAGCGGGGGCGGGAGGCCCCAAGGCGCTCCAAGACGGCACCGATGGCCCCAACGTGGCCTCAGATGGGCCCAACACGGCCAATACACACCCCAAAAGCCCTCCAAGAGGCCCCAGGAGAGCTCCGAGAGGCGTCCCGAGAGAGCCCGAAGAGGCTCATATCCTTGATTTCCGGTTGCTTTTTGTATTTTTGTTCGCTTTCTCGCATTCTCGAGTTTCCAACGCTCGAACATGGCCGAAGACGCCCCGAAGATCGCCCGCAGACCGCCGAAGAGGCCCAAACAGAGCTCCAAGACGGTTCAGGAGAGCCTGAAGACTGCCCAAGAGCAGCCCAAGACTGCCCAAGAGAGCCCCAGGACAGGCCCGAGCTGGGCCAAGACTGCCCAAAAAGCCCAAGACTGCCCAAGCTGGGCCACAGAGCGGCAGCGGGAGGCCCAAGAGGCCAATAGGCCTCCAAGAGGGGAACTCCGAGAGACGCCCCGAGAGAGCCAAAAACGAGGCCCACATCATTGATATGCATCGGTTTGTTCGATGTTTTTCGCTTTCTCGCGTTCTCGAGCTTCCGATACTCGAAGACGGCCGCAGACGCCCCCCAAACCGCCCCGAGACCGCCGAAGCGGCACCCAAAATAGCCCTAAGACGGCCCCAGGGAACCCGAAAATAGTCCAGGAGGAGCCCCACACGGCCCAATAGAAGCCCAGGACAGGCCCAAGCTGGGCCCCAGAACGGGAGCGGGAGGCTCCAGAGTGCTCCAAGACGGCCCTCATGGCCCCAGCGTTGCCCCAGATGGGCCCAACACGGCCAATAGCAGCTCAAGAGCTCCCAAGAGGCCCCAGGAGAGCTCCGAGAGGCGCCCCGAGAGAGCCCGAAGAGGCCCATATCCTTGATTTCCGGTTGCTTTTTTCGCATGTGTTTCGCTTTCTCGCGTTCTCGACCTTCCAACGGTCCAACACGGCCGAAGACGCCCCGAAGATCGCCCCGAGATCGCCGAAGAGGCGCCAAAAAAAGCTCCAAGACGGTTCAGGAGAGCCTGAAGACTGCCCAAGAGCAGCCCAAGACTGCCCAAGAGAGCCCCAGGACAGGCCCAAGCCAGGCCACAGAGCTGGAGCGGGAGGCCCCGAGGCGCTCCAGGACGGCCCAGATGATTCCAACGTGGCCTCAGAGGAGCAGAGTGTCCCGCTGCAGGGGTCGTTTGGCTGTTCGAGCCAGGGCGCCCAGCTCCGTAAATGAAAACGCTTGGGCGCGCAAGAAACGATAATTGTGTCGGGCCCTTGTGGCGCCCCGAAGGCACTTCCAACGTGCCTTCGGCGCATTACATGCACCAGCACTTCACTTCTGCGCACGCGCCAGGAAAAGTTGGGCTCAATATTGGAACCGCCACCCGTGAGTTTCACAGTGTTTCTTTGAGCTCTTGCTGGGGTATCTCTCGCAGCGAGACGGGCCTTTCTGGTAGCAGTTCACAAAAGAGTTCCGAGAGTCCCGAGAGGGCCCAAAGAGGCCCAAATCATTGAGTTGCATTGGTTTGTTCTATGTTTTTCGCTCTCTCGCGTTCTCGAGCTTCCAATGCTCGAAGACGGCCGCAGACGCCCACAATACCTCCCCAAGACCGCCAAAGAGGCACCCAAAAGAGCCCCAAGACGGCCCCAGGGAACCCGAACATTGCCCAGGAGGAGCTCCAGACGGCCCAAGAAAGCCCGAGGACAGACCCAAACTGGGCCACAGAGCGGGAGCGGGAGGCCTCAAGGCGCTCCAAGACGGCCCTGATGGCCCGGGCCTCCCCCCTCCGTCCTTCCTTCCCTCCCGCCCCCTCCCCTTGCCTCCATTCACTCCTCTCTCCTCTTCCTCCCCTCACCCCTCAGGTTTCGTGCTCCTCCCTCCTCTCCTGGGACGGCCCCGCCAGAGCGCCAGACAGGCCCCGCCAGATCGAGCGGGGCATCGCTATACCCTATCATTTCATAAGTTGCTTTGCCCCTTCCCACCCCTCAACGGCGGCCCCGGCAGAGCGAGAATGGTGTTTCTATACCATGTACAGTCCCTGTTCTGTTTTTCTCCTCCCACCGCACCCGAGGTAGCCCCGTCAGGGCGCACGGGGTGTGGCTATGCCATACTTTTCGTCAGGTTTCGTCCCTTCATGGCCAAGCCCCGCCAGAACGCCAGGGAAGCCCCCGCCAAAGAGAGCAGGGCATCCCTACACCATACTATTTCACGCTATTCTTGCTCCCCCCACCCCGGCAGGGCGGACCGCCCGAGCGAGCGGGGTGTGGCTATACTTTACAATTTCTGAGGTTTCGTGCCCCTCCCCCACCTTTTGAAAGGCTTCGCCAGAGCGCCCAGAAGGAGGTACCACCAGAGCCCCCGTCAGAGCTCCAGGCAGCCCCATACATGGGACTTGCCAGGCAAATCGTTGAGCATCCCCCACGAGCCCGAACCTTCTGACCCCACGGGGCGATTATCGCCAGCATGAGGTTTGGCGTCCAGCACAAAGAAGCTTCCTCACTCCCATGGACGGACTCGACAACAACTGATTGCAGAGAAGGGCGCTGATGACCGGGACATCTGCGCGCGCCCTCTGCAGATACCCGACAGCTGAACGCCCGCTGAAAACGAGACGCCTGGAGCACAAGGAAGAGGAAACAAAACAGCGCGCTCCCACACGCGCGCAACGAGGCCCCGAGCCAACCCCAACATAAGGAGCCGGCGAATGTCTGCGTGATCGGGCATGGGGATATCGAGTAGCTTTGCAAAACACTTGATTGTCACGACGAGCCAGAGCGGAAGCGAATGTGGAGAAAAGCATGTAGTTCGATAGACCAAACGAAGGCGCCAACGATATTGTGATTTACGCGGGAACGTGGCGCCCCGCGTTCTGACTACGCGATTCTTTGCGTCGATGACATGGACCCGAGAACGCTGGAAATCGTCGTTGTGGCCACAGCGGAGATTACAGCGGCATCCGTGGATCATCTGCGACTAGAACCTAAGCGCGCGTAGCGCGCGCGTGGTTCTAGTATATTTATGTATAAGTATATACATACGTATACGCGTATGTTACGTCTACGCGTATGTTTATGTTATAGTACATTCCCCAGACAGTGCCTGCACTCCGTTTTTTCTTGTTTCCCTTCCTGGGGATCTGGGCCTGGTTGGCCATCTGGCGGCTCGGTGCTCGCCGTCGCCGCCCCGTCGCCGCCTTGTGGTGCAATCTATGTAGTAAAATTGGTTTCCACCCATGATATTGACACACCCCATGCTCTTGCAAACATCCCACCCACCCACCCGCACCTTGGTTTGCAAAACCTCTTAAGACCGTGACGGTAGGTACCAAATGGCACTCAGCAACGACACCGACGCCGACGACGACAGCGACGTCGACGACGACGACGACGGCGCAGACGACGACTACGACGACACCGACGACGTCTCCAACGACTTCGGCGACGACGACGACGACGACGACGACACCGACGACGGCGACGACGACGCCGACGCCGACGCCGACGACGACGACGACGACGACGGCGGCGACGACGACGACGACGGCGACGCCGACGACGATGAAGATGACGACCACGCCGACGACGACGACGACGGCGGCGACGACGGCGACGCCGACGTCGACGACGACGAAGATGACGACCACGCCGACGACGACGACGACGACGTCACCAACGAAAACGGCGACGACGAGAGAGGAGGGATGACGACGACGGCGACAACGACGACAACGACGAGGGAGGAGGGAGGACGGCGACGACGCGAACGACGAAGGAGGGAGGACGGCGACGCCGACGACGACAACGACGAGGGAGGAGGGAAGACGACGACGACGACGACGGCGGCGATGAAATAGGAGGGACGAGGACGAGACGCCGACGACGGACGACGACGACGACGAGGGAGGAGAAGCAAGGACGACCTCGGCGACAAAGACGACGGAAACGACCACGACGCCAAAGAGGACGACCACGGCGACGACGAGGAAAGACAGAGGACGACGACGGCGGCGACGACGACGACGACGAGGGAGGAGGGAGGACGGCGACGACG